CAGCAGGAAAATTCTGCTGCACTGCAGAATTGCACAAGTTTCCCTTCTTGCTTGTAAGCCTTGGAGTGGCTCAGAGAGCTAAAGGTTCTCTGCCTGCAGGCACTTGCCTCCTTTGACACCCCCTGACCTGCCAGAGGTCAACTGCTGGGCTGGTGGCTCACAGGTGTGGCAGAGAGGGGGGCACAGCAGAGGCATTGTTTGGATACAGACTAATTAGACTTAAATAAGACACTAAGACCTTCCCACCCAGCCCCAGAACCAGCAGCAGGAAGGAGGACATACCTCTTGCACTGAGCAGGGTAAAACCACTCGGCTGAAAGAGGAAAAGAGCAAATTCAGCAAAAAGAATCACTAGTCCTCATCTGCAGGTAACAGATACAAACTCTAACAAAGACATTCGGGGAGGAAGCAGCAAAATGAGTATCAGGAACAACCACACTGTCCTGGGGCCCTCAGGTGATGTTCCCCTTCCTGACAACCTAGTGCCTTCAACATCCACTGCAACACAGACCTCCTGAGAGCACCAACATAAGTCAGGTCTGTCCTCTCTTCTAGAGAGGAAGAAACTTACAGTCAATTCGTTAAACTCCTGCTGCTCCCTGCTGTGTCTGTGCTGTGAGCAGGGAGCTTGACAGGCTTTTGTTCAGGCACTGCCATGAGTGGGTTCAGCACCTGAGCCCCCTGCACGCCCAGCACAACAGGCACCAACCTGGGCAGGCAAAAACTGCCACCCCTGCAGATCAGCCCAGCCTTGCAGTCCATGCAGCTTCTTCATCTCTTACTGGAAAAAGCTTTTTCTATGTTAGTCTCCCACGTGCCTCACACACGTACTTGCTGCTATTACTTTGAACTCACACATCACACCTACTGTCACAGCAGAGGCCACGAATCACTGGGCCTTGAGGTGAATTAAAGCCAGAGGGTCCGAGGGGAGGGGACACAAGAAACCAGCTGGTGGCAGAAGAGCTTCGGGGAAAGATCTACCCTAAGCAGATAATGCTCCA